GTGGAGTAGTAATTGATTGAAGTAAATGGGCCTCCACTTCTCTTCGCCCGATGCCTTACGGCTAGGTTATGGTCAGAACTAAAGGCTTGGATTTAGAACCCTAATCGTTCTCCTGCCTAATGGCTGGACACCCTAGCAGTACTCGTCCATCAAACCCAATTGCATATACATTGAGAGTTTGGCAGCGATCAGAGAAGTTCGCTTCCCTGTGTTTCGCTGTACGATGACGATGAGGATAGCAAGCTAATTCAATTACCGAATAAAAAGGACTACAGGGCTAAGAACAAGTTTTGTCATTGACTCATTTATTCATCGCTTCTAATCATTATGAAACGAGTACGCAAATTTGAGGACGAAAGAAAGGTGATCGGTCAGTGGGGGGGAATGAAGAGTATGACCTATAAACCTATATGCCGCTGATTTTTTACGGTTTGACAATCATCTTGTTGTTATTTGGAAAACACGGTCACGTACGGGAAATGAGGACACAAGGGCTAACTGGGTCGAGGCGGAACGTGGTGAAAGTGAGCTCTATCTTAACGAGAAAATGACCGAAGTAACAACTTTATTTCGAGCCTCCAATTAGATATAAAAAGAAGAAGTAATGTCATTCTGTCTACCAAATCTCATACGGATTTCTATGATGCAAAATCTAAACCTCGGCCCGACGCATTTCAGCCACAAAGTAAAGGAATCCTCTTCTTCTTCTTCGATAAAACCAATTAGGACAAATTCATCATGGTGAGATCAAAATCCTTCACTAATCTCATACAATATGTAATCAGGTTCGGAAGGTTTCCAACGGAGTCATCACCCTGGAGGCTGCTGAGATGCGCGAGGCCCGCATTACGCTCGCAAAGAACGGTTGTGCTATAGGGTAAACGCACAGTGAGAAACGGTCTGATCATTCCCGATGACCGAGTGGATAGCATGCTTGCATTCTATCTGTGAGGTCCTGGGGTTGGATCCCCTGTTGAGTCGATAGATTCGTCCCTTTAATGAGACCATACCAGGTCCAAACAACTGTTTAATGCTTTATAGTCTTTTATCTCACACTTCATTTACAGGACGAATTCATCGTAAGAACCATTCCGTGGGGTTCTTTTTAACAAAAGATCGGAACATGACAGAACCAACCTTGTGGGTTCAAGTTCTGACAGAGACGCAAAGATAGTATGCCTTGCTGGAGGATTGGGATCAAATCAGATGTGAAGTAAAATCAAGAGCAGACTTTCCCTGTGGAGCTGAGCCCGAATTTCTTCGAAGATTTTAGATCTCTCAAGAGTCAGGAATCTTGGTGAAACAAAAGCGAAAGATCCAAGTCTGTCAGGGTTAACAAGTGACGTTTGCAACGGCTGCACAAACTGAAAAGCGAACTGAAACTGTCTGCAACGTCAACTCAGAGGAGGCCCTATGAAAAACCCTGAAAAATGATGGATCAAAATGGTTAGGGAAATGGAAGTGGCTTCTGCATCAGGGACTAGTCAACGACTGTCTCACCTGATAAGCAGCACCGGAGATCGTCACATATCGGTTTAGGAAACCTTTTGTGATAAAAGTGAATACAGCATTTACAGTAAAGAATAACGGCTTGATTGCTGGGCAGAGTAATGTAGTGAACACTAGCTGGTCCGGTGCTAGAGCGGTTATTCCGGCGGTCGCAGCCGAAACTCCGTGGACGGAAACATGTGAGCCCCCAACAGAACTAGAAGTACGGAGCTGTATTCAATCGCTAAAGAAAAGAAAGGTAGCCGAGCCTCGCAGGCGAATTCTTTTTAAAGTGGGGTGTGACTATCTTGCGGACTCCATTGCTAGTTTACTACCACCGTTTGTTTGTGGTTTTCGCACACCGCCCGGCTGCCTTGCGGGTCAGGCTTTGGCTAGTCGAAGGCTCCGGTTGTGGATTCCTCAAGAAAATTCACCTGCCTTGGCCTGGGCAACCTGGCAGTACTCAGCCCACAAGCCAATCATGGAACATTTTTCTTTTTATAAAGATTATTGTATCATGATTTGTTTGGCACACAGTCTGTCCTCAGACAAGTGTGAAATATATATAAATATACCACCGTTTGTTCGGAAGCGCGCATCCCTTCATTCTGGGGCGAATCTGTGATCGTTTCAATCCTCACCTAGGGATCACGCAACGATTATGAAAACCACCGTGGGATAAGTTTTCATCATTACAAAAGTTCGCACTTTTCGTGAACAGCAAGCAGGATTCTGACCACATCGTGAATGTACTGACCAAATTTTCACGTTGCGTCAGGTCCTCGAGTTTCGCCATACACATCATCGACCAGCGATTGTAGATTTCTTAACCTAAAAGAAGCCTTCCAATCAGTTAGCCGAAGACCTAATGGGTACGTTTCTTTGTAAAGAAATACTGTAGAAGTATGTAAACGTGTTGAGGTCACAGTACTCATATACTTCTGATAGCGAAAGAATTTACGCAACTAGTTCGAAAGTAGCAGCGATGTACGTCAAGGATGCCCTGGTTCGCAATTCCTATTCAATTTCGTCGTAAACAAAACACTGGAGAACGAACTTACTGGTCTCCAAAACGTAGGTATTGAATGGGCAGATGGAGAAAAGCTGTGCGATTTAGAGTACACTGAGGATATGGTTTGTCTGTTCGAATGTATGGAGGATGAGCAAAGCGCTCTTGACAGACTTTCTTTAAGCCGACGAGCATCTGGCAATTGTTCGGTAGAGAATTCGTGCTCTTCGCTGTTTACGCCACGTATTGCGCACAGCCAGGTGTTGTCCACGGCACGGCGCTTTACTCACAGTCACCACTGCGTGTTGGAGGAGATCATGTGGTCAACGGATGACGTGGAGAAGAGGCATTAAGAGCTGCATAAAGCAAGTGGCTCCTGTCTTCCAGGTTCGGGTCGAAAAGATTCCGTTAGTGGTCGGTGAGAGATAGTAAAGGGTGTGGGAACGAAACGATAGTAGTGGCGATCTTGTTGTCATTTCCTATCAGATTGGAATGCTTGAAAAAGTGTGTGCGCGGTTAGATTGAGTACTCTATATGTCAACCGTATAGATTCACTTTATCCCACCCACCCAGGCACCCACTCACACCCCAACCACCACCACCATAACCGGTTGAAAACAGGCTCAATCCCTGTCCACATTGTACAATTTCACTTACCTTGTATGTATTGTGAGTTTTATAGCGAGCGATAAAGTTCGCTTCATTATATTTTGCGGCACAGTGAAAATGATTTTGATGAGTTCCAACAAAGACAGACGAATAGCCCAGGACTTGACACGTTATTTGACGGTCAGCAAGTGCTGTTCAGCTCCCGCAGTAGACTTGCGCTGCGCTATGATGATTTCCCCCAGTTAAGTAGCTTGACTTACTTATAAATATGTGAGAAGGAAAAATTTCCGTCAACTCTGTTACTGATAGTGCACAAGGAGTGTTCTAAATCGTTATTTGTTTTCAAACAGGCACAGGAAGAAACAAAAAATCTACCGCACAATCGCACTGATACGTTGAGATCTATTCGTTACATTGCTATCACTAACTAATAACTCCACTGACTTTTCATCCATGAGGACAGCCACAGCAGCACCTCAGACCATCTACACAGCTTTGATTTTGATCACTTTCTTCAGGTCAAACAAACGCGACAGGAATCAAACTACCTCCTTCTCCCGCTCCTTCAATCGCATGCAATGACCTCCCGTTCACCTAGACTCCATCACAATTCCAAATGAGCACTTTTGGACTTAGCGTAAAGCAGTGAACACCCCGATCAGAGTGAACTTGATCATCATGCACATGATGTCGGGTGTCCTGGTCGGAGTTCATGAAATCGATCCGATTAAGGATCAAAGAGAGAGACAAGCTGGAGTGTCACAAAACAGTGATGGCGCCGATACCTTCAACAAAGCTGGTGTGCGAATATCCTTATCTCAAATTCGTCATCCCCGTATTGATAACACTCAGTGCGGCTTTAAATCCTATTGTTTTATTCAATGGTTAATGGCACGGATAGTAAAACGAGAGCAATCAAAACTGGATCAAGATAATCCACACCTGTGGATTGCGCAAAGTGAACTGGAAGCGGATTAGCGCAGTACTTTTTTCGATATGAACGATCGACAAGTGGATTTACTCAGTCACCATTAATATTGTAAAACACTGTAAAGCATTAGGGAAGGCGAAACAATTAGGCAATAGACAGAAGTGGATGGGGGTCGCGATACTCGTGCACAGCGAGGAGCTGTCGAACCGTT